AAAAAAAAAAAAAAAAAAAAAAAAAAAAATTAGCCAAGTATGGTGGCACATGCCTGTAGTCCCAGCTAGTCAGGAAGCTTAGATGGGAGGATCACCTGACCTAAGAGGTTGAGGCTGCAATGGGCCGTGATTATGCTATTGCACTCCAACCTGGCCAATGGAGCAAGACACTCTGCCTCAAAATAAAATTTTAGGGTGGCAGGTGAGGGCGGACTTTTTCACAAGAATGTATTTCTGTAATAATTATGTAATTTAAAATAACTTGTGGCTGGGCGTGGTGGCTCAAGCCTGTAATCCCAGCACTTTGGGAGGCTGAGGCGGGCGGATCACGAGGTCAAGAGATCAAGACCATCCTGGCCAACAAGGTGAAACCCCGTCTCTACTAAAAACACACACAAAAAATTAGCTGGGCATGGTGGCATGTGCCTGTAGTTCCAGCTACCCAGGAGGCTGAGGCAGGAGAATTGCTTGAACCCAGGAGACAGAGGTTGCAGTGAGCCGACATCGCGCCACTATACTCCAGCCTGGCGCCTGGTGACAGAGCAAGACTCTGTCTCAAAAAAAGAAAAGAACTTGTAAAAATTATCAAGTTCCTATTATATGCTAGCTCTGGGCTAGGAGCTTTAAATGTTGTGTTACCTTATTAATCCACACAACTCTGAGATAAGAACGGTTCATTCATTCAGCACACTTTCAACCTGCACCTCCCACTGCCAGCCCTGGGGGCAGGGATGCCCAGAATGCCTGCATTGAACAAGCTTTTTTTTTTTTTTTTTGAGATGGAGTCTCACTTTGCCACCCAGGCTGGAGTGCAATGGCATGATCTCGGCTCACTGAAACCTCTGCCTCCCAGGTTCAAGCGATTCTCCCACCTCAGCCTCCCAAGTAGCTAGGATTACAGGCACAGGCCATCATGCCCAGTTAATTTTTGTAGTTTTAGTAGAGATGGGGTTTCACGGTTGGCCAGGCTTGTCTTGAGCTCCTGACCTCATGATCCACCTGCTTCAGTCCCTGCAAAGTGCTGGGATTACAGGCGTGAACCACCGTGCCCAGCTTTGAACAAGCTTAAATGTAGAAATGGGTAGAGGCAGAAAACAAGCTGGTGAGTGCTGCTCTCATGGAGATGCAGAGGACAGCCAAGTCTATCCACGGAGGAGGAACTTCGGCTAGGTGCAGAGTGAGAGATGCCTAAAGTCCCACACCCAGTAAGTGGGACCTTACTAAAAGCAGTATTTGAACTTGAACTTGCCTCCAAAGGCCACGGTAGACAGCAGCCGACCCTTCAGACCTATGAAGGCTCTGCTATCTTTGGCGGAAGGAGTGGGTTGTTTCTGAGTGTAGAGAGGGAAGGCAGGAGAGACTATGATATTCCAGCCACAGATGTTTCATTATCACTGTTTAATATTTATTAAGCATCTAGTAAGTATAAGGATGCATGAATCGAGGGTCCCTACCTTCAGCTTGGAAGCCACAAAAGAGACCAATCTTAGAACACTAGGACATGGTACCCGCTGCCTGGAGGTAATTTAGAATCTGGCTGGGGTAAAGAGATTAATGAGCAAGTCATGCCATCAATGTGCTGTAACTGAGTCCTAAAACCACCAACAGTGACACAAACCGGAGTAAGCGGCTTCCCAGTGGAGATGACCACCCAGCTGCTGCCCCTCGGTCTCTGAGCTCATCTGCCTTGCAGAGCTACAGGGAGGACTAATGAAGTGAGAGGCCCTTCCTAACCTTAAAGCCCTCTGTCAGGGTGCACTTTGCTCTGATAATTAGAAGGAAGAGGAGCTAAGGGATTGCCTTCCTTGGGAAGGAGGAACTGCTCGGCCCCTGCCCTCCCCACTAGCCAGCTCTGCTAGGCCGAGGAAGGTTTTCCTCAGCTCAGAGGTCCAGTGGGAATGGCAGGAACATAGGCTAGAGGAGACTCTGGCATCATTTCACCCATGGAGGCTGTCCGTGCCAGTCCCCATGCCATCCTCCAGGTATGCCTGTCAGCACTCCTGGAAAAACCACCTGGAAATCAAGGGCTTGGGCCCTTGTCATGGTGAAAATCCAAGAACTCAAGCTCCCAGAAAAGTCCCACATTCACCCACCTCCCAATTGCTTAGCCAACAGGCAGGTATTCACTGGGCCTGTTCTCCCTGCTCTTTGCATTAGGCCAGACAGAAGAAGACATGATTAACACATAATAAATAGTGAAAAAGGCCGAGTGCAGTGGCTCACGCCTGTAATCCCAGCACTTTGGGAGACCGAGGTTGGTGGATCACAGGGTCAGGAGTTAGAGATGAGCCTGGCCAATATGGTGAAACCCCAACTCTACTAAAAATACAAAAGTTAGCCCAGCATGGTGTTGTGCACCTGTATTCCCTGTTACTCAGGAGGCTGAGGCAGATGAATCGCATTCGTCTATGCCCTTTTCAAGATAAAGCTTTTTCTGCGAGTGCTATGAACCCTCATCCTATCACGGGTAATTAGGAATCCTCTATGCCTCCAGTAGCCCTGGTAGCTTCCGTGGCACTCAGCTGTGGAGGCTTCTGGGAATCAGCTCAGTAAGAATGCCCTGAACCTGGGAGGCCAAGATTGCAGTGAGCCAAGATCGCCCCACTAGACTCCAGCCTGGGAGACAGAGTGAAACCATGTCTCAAAAACAAACAAACAAACAACAACAACAAAAAACCCCAGTAAGAATTATAGGGATTCAGGGAAGGGAAGAGGTCATTTTGGACTGGAGAAATCCTGGAAAGCTTCCTGGA